GGACCCCCTGCAGACTGGGTGAAGATAAATGTCAGAGAAACTGTGAGTACCTCTGCCGTTTTTCCTCTCATATAATGTAACATTTACCCAATTCTTGAAATTAGAGGCATGAGAAAGAAAGAAAAGTCAAAAACAAGACTGCCTGAAGAAAGGGAAATAACTGCAATCTGGCACTTTGTTTGATACGGAATTCTGAAATGTTACCAAATTTATTTTGTTGTCTTTATTTACAGAAAGACTGCTTTGAGATATTTGCCCTAGTACCTGGACTTCTTCGCGAAGAGGTGAGCTTTTCTCCTTGGAATTCAATCTCTTAAGCTTCTTGATCAGTGTCTTGTCACTGACGTGTACCAAGAGATGAATGTTTAGTTCAAAGAGTGTGACTGATTCCTACGTTATAGATGTGAACATATACTGGATTCTAATCTTAAATACACACATTGTTGTTAGTTGTAATGAATTTCATAGTAATCTTTTGTGTCATCGCACACAGAATATAGTTCCTCAGTATAAGTTGATTTCTACTTTCAGGTCCGCGTTCAGTCAGACCCTGCAGGGCGGCTAGTAATAGCAGGCCAACCTGAGCAACTTGACAATCCTTGGGGAATCACACCCTTCAAAAAGGTTAAGAGTCCTCCAAGTCTAATACTCCAAACAGAGCCATGTTTGCTAATTGAAGGATAGTTGTCATTTGTTTTCGATTTTGGTTTTCGTAGGTTGTGAACTTTCCAGCAAGAATCGATCCACTTCACACGTCAGCGGTTGTGAGCCTACATGGTCGACTGTTTGTGCGAGTCCCATTTGAGCAGTGACCGGTCTCATCCCAAGTGAGCTTGTTCTTTATTTGTTTCTTTTAGGAATTCGTTTGTATCAGAACTAAAAAAGACGAACGTTAGCAAATGTGATAGTTCTGACTGTAACTTGAGTTCTGAATATTAAGGTAGAGAAACGAATATTGATGTTCCATATCAAGTTAAGGGCGTGTTCGTTTGATCATCCGGCATTTCTATCCAGATGGTTCATCTAAATGTTCCATCTGAATGTTGTTTGATTCAATTTTTAAATGTTTATTTGGATGGAGCATCTTTTGTTTGTTTGCTTAATTTTTATAAATCTTTATTTCCATCTAGATGACTTTAACAAGAAAATGACTAAAATACTCATACTTTTAATCTAATTATATTTTAATTTTAATTTTAGCTATATTAATTTAATTATTGCTCTAAAATAGATTTACAAATAAATAATTTCAAACTATGATTTTAACATATAAAAATTAATTTTACGGTTTTAGCGGAAAAATATGATATTACGGTTTTGACGGGAAAATATGATTTTCCAGAAAATATGATTTTACGGTTTTGGCGGAAAAATATGTTTTACCTAGAAAATATGATTTTCACAGGAAAATTAAGTTTTGTACTTTTGGCGAGAAAATATGATTTTACGGTTTTAGTGGAAAACACAATTCTTCATTTTTTTTTGGGCGCAAAAGTCGTGATTTTATAGTTTTGGCGGAAAGATATGATTTTACGGTTTTGGCGGGAAAATATGATTTACGGTTTTGACGGGAAAATATGATTTGCTAGAAAATATGATTTCACGGTTTTGGCGAGAAAATATGATTTGCCAGAAAATATGATTTTACGGTTTTGGTGGAAAAACATGATTTTATGGTTTTGGCGGAAAAACATGATTTTGCGGTTTTGGCGGAAAAATATGATTTTGGCGGTTTTGGCGAAAAATATGATTTTGCGGTTTTAACAAATTCCACACTTTTCTATCAAAAATCATGATTTGACTTTTTGGCGGGAAAAAACACAATTCCGCGATTTTATGATTTTGACGGAAAATGATAATCCTTGATTTTACAATTTTTAGAGATTTTTTTTGTGTGCAAATATGTGACTTTTAGAATATAAAATGAGAAATCTATGTTCAAATAATGTTTATTTTTCATAGATTTCTCATTTTATATTCTAAAAATCAGCATTAATTAGACGTAATATTTTATATTTACATTTAACCTTTTTTATAATCTAATAATCTATGTTTATTTTTGTTTATCTATTTTCTAATGTGGATTTTTGTGTAACATGAAGTGATTTACTTATATAGTGATTTCAGACAAAAAAAAATTAGCAAAACATTCTTTAATAATATTCAATAATATAATAGTTTAGTAAACAATTTTTGTTTAAGTTATTTCTTCTTATAACTGCGAGGTTCTTGGTCGAAATTCATACCAATATATCTAGAATTTATGTAAAAAGTATGATATATATTATTTTCATGTAAAAACATTTACAATAACAAACCATAATAAAAAGGGTTGCCGGATTTTTCAGCCCCCAACTATTTGCAAACTCAAGGAATCCCCCTATACTTTTTCGCTCTTAAAAAATCACCAACAACTAACAATTTCCTTAATAAAACATCCTCAACTTTCAGATTCATCTTGATTAATACGCCTCCAATTGAACCGGCCATTAAACCGGGTTTAACCACAAATCCGCGTTTACTATACCGCGATTAGGATTACCCGCATAAGTAGGGTTGCCGGATTTTTCAGCCCCCAACTATTTGCAAACTTAAGGAATCCCCCTATACTTTTCGCTCTTAAAAAATCACCAACAACTAACAATTTCCTTAATAAAACATCCTCAACTTTCAGATTCATCTTGATTAATACGCCTCCAATTGAACCGGCCATTAAACCGGGTTTAACCACAAATCCGCGTTTACTATACCGCGATTAGGATTACCCGCATAAGTACCCATGACCCGAGAGTTAAAACGACGTCGTTTTGACTCGTCTCTTTTTCTCAAAACAAAGCCAAAACGACGGGTTGCCGGATTTTTCAGCCCCCAACTCGTCTCTTTAGCTTTGTGTTTTAGCTTTTGTAATGACTTTGTGCTTTAGCTTTTGTAATGACAAAATGACTTTGTGCTTTAGCTTTAGATTTGTGCTTTGTGTTCCTTTTGTAATGCTATGATAATGATGCAAGAATCCCCCTATTAAACTTGAGGAACCATTGTTGTTAACATCTAAATAGAGACATAATGATCCGAGAATAACATCCAAAAGATCAACATCCAAAAGATCAACATCTCGGGTCATAAGTACTTATGCGGGTAATCCTAATCGCGGTATAGTAAACGCGGATTTGTGGTTAAACCCGGTTTAATGGCCGGTTCAATTGGAGGCGTATTAATCAAGATGAATCTGAAAGTTGAGGATGTTTTATTAAGGAAATTGTTAGTTGTTGGTGATTTTTTAAGAGCGAAAAGTATAGGGGGATTCCTTGAGTTTGCAAATAGTTGGGGGCTGAAAAATTCGGCAACCCTACTTATGCGGGTAATCCTAATCGCGGTATAGTAAACGCGGATTTGTGGTTAAACCCGGTTTAATGGCCGGTTCAATTGGAGGCGTATTAATCAAGATGAATCTGAAAGTTGAGGATGTTTTATTAAGGAAATTGTTAGTTGTTGGTGATTTTTTAAGAGCGAAAAAGTATAGGGGGATTCCTTGAGTTTGCAAATAGTTGGGGGCTGAAAAATCCGGCAACCCTAAAAATGCTGTAGAATAATTCAAACCAAGATCCTTTTAGTCACATCTTGTGTCAAGCTTTGGCCCATACATAGTGTAGATATCTTCTTCTCCCCTGGAACAAAATTTATATCAATCCAATGATAATTCATATATAGGCAAACCTTCGCATTTACGTTTACTTATCAGCGTTCGTAGAACATACACAATGAACAAGATTTCTTATCCCAATTGTTGCTCAATTGCATGTAAGGCATATGAGACATGACATGAGCACATGGAAATCTTAAAAGATAAAGTCATAGTGCATGTATCTAAAAGGTCTCCAAGTACATTGCTCTTTATTCTCTTTACATGGTTCAAGCCCTAAAAAGTCAAATATAGGAAATTATGAAAAAATAAGATGTTTTTAATCCATCTCTCATTCCCATTGTATAACAAGTAAACCTGAGACTCAATTTCTTATATACATAAATGTGCCCCGTCTTCTCTTAGAAGCTCATTGGAGATATATCACCACAAATCTCTTTTGGACATGCATTGGTCATGTACAAGCTTTTTCTTTCACTTGTTTTTTAATATATTTTAATATATGTTTTCATACGGTCCATACATATCTCCCCTAGGGACTTGATGCATTACTCATTTTCACACATCTTGGTACTCAAAAACCCACTTGGCTATGTTGTTGTAGAATTTCTTAGTCCTCTAAGGGAAACTGATAAATTAAACTCCGAGACACAAATGTTTTTCATGTCTTCGTTTTGGCAGGTCATGTAATGTTCTCGTGTTTACGCCATTAACTAGTCGTCGTAACCGTCGAAAAATCATGTTTATTTCGTTGTAACGGATGAGCGAATCTTTTCTTATAATCGACAAAAAAGAGTATGCATCCGTAACCGCTATCTTTAAAACAATCTCATAGAATTCTAAAGCGTTATTTACTTTTTCGAAAATTTTCAAAGCGTTATTTACTTTTTCGCAAGTTTAAAGCGTTATTTCCGTGATTGATTGATTGAATCGAAGAAAGATTCATATCGATCTCATCGAAATACAAAGTAGAACTCAATTGGGTGAAACATGTATAATCAAATCAGGATTCCATGCATAAACAAGATATTCATATAGAGGATTTCCAAATCATAAAATCTGGAGGATTTATGTATGGTATCTACATGAATGAAAAAGAACCAGATGTTTGATTTGTTGGTTGATTACTTGATATACATAGTAACATAGACTGAGTGATTATATTACCTTTGATACCTACTCCAAAAAGGGCATTACACATATACCATATCCACGAAACCATTATGAGCCATTTCAATATTTATATAGATGTACTCAATAACTTTATTGTTATCCAATTATGCGAAGGTAACTAAATGATATATAAAAGTTGGCTTCTAAAAGCATTTTTATTGTGAACTCAAGCATATAACAAATGATATAGAGGGACAGCACGAAACCCTATTGATTAAAAAAGAAGAGAATATGCAGATGGGGAAGTATATTTGAAGACGAATTCAAATATTCATAAATGATCAACTAAATTTAAAACCAAACGAACCCCAAATCATTAAGAAGTCGCTATCATAAGATAAAAAATTTTCTTCTTATAATTCTGAAAAATGAAATTTGGTTACAGCTATGTTACGGACATAATTTTCAATTCTAAAAAGGTGGTCTTGGTGCGGCAGCGGCTCCCCAACCAAGCAAATGAGGATCACCGGAAAACTGATCATAACCACTCATGTTACCTCTTAACTGTCCTTGACCGGCTCCAGAAGGTGGTGATGATGACGTGGCCGTCGGTGGACCACCTCCTCCTCCTCCTCCTTCTCCAACTTCTCCAACTTCTCCTCCTGCCCCTTCTCCTCCTTCATCTTCAAGCGGAAGTCTTTCGAACGTTGCATTAGAGAACGATGCAGCCATTAGTATCACTGGACCCGAAGCCACAAGCGGAGCCACCACGTTTCCTCCGATCACCTGACCTTGAACGCCGGAAAGAAAGATAGAAAGACCACCGGATCCCGGCGGCGCAGGCGGAGGTAACACCGTACCGGTGAGGGAAAGTATCTCAAACCTTCCATGTAAAGCCACAACACCTCCGGTTCCACCATTAGCCCCATGAGCCGCTGCCGGCTGACGGAGACTGACGTTAGCCACCGTGCCGTTACCACTGAGTATGGAGACACCCCTCCCTCTCCGGCGAGCGTAAGTGGTAACGCTCTCAACTATGTCGGCTCCAGATGAGACTTCAAGAACATGAGATCTAAGCACGTTGGGGCTATCTCTTGTAACTATCACCGGTGGCTTCGGCTTGTTCTTAGATCCCGGAGGACGTCCACGTGGACGTTTTCCAGGAGTTGAACCCGAGGTAACTGGGTCGGAACCCGGATCCTTGTTGGAGTCAGATTCATCATCTGATTGCTGCTGCTGAGGCTGAGGCAAAGGCTGAAGTTGAGGCTGAGGTTGAAGCTGGTGTTGAAGCTCAGGCCTGAAGAGGTTGTGAAAGTATCTAGAAGCTCCTCCGGTTTGATCGTAACCACCGTCCATGGCCGCCGCATCTACTGACTCTTCTTGCTCTTGTGGCTCATATATATAAAGATATTGTGAGGGTGAAGATAGAATTCATATGAGAGAAACTTTGAGATCCATTGGAGAAGTCAAATTTCAGGGGGTGAGGAGCCAATGGCTTGAGTTGATCGGTTACACAAGCCGACAAAAACAGAGCTAAGAGACACAAATCAAAAGGGTATGCTGCTTTGTGTGTTAAACCCTAACTCGCTTTAGGGCAAGAGAAGAGAGATTCTTCACCCGAGACGGTGTCGTATTAATTGATGTGAAAAGAATTTTAGAGAAGCTTCAAATTAATTCATGTGCTGAGGACTGAGAGTGAGTGACTCTCTGCAATACTTTTTCTTGAACGAGGAAAGCAAAAAAAAATAAAAAAGCAATTGATACACCGAAAATTTAGCTGAATATCATTCCTTTCGCATTAAAAAATAATATACATACTGTATATAAAATACTCATAGTGGCATATTAATATACGCATAATTGCATATTAATAATATACTTGAAATCCATGAAAAGACAAGGGTTTCGAGTTTTCTTCTCTGGATATATTCATTTCCTTTTTTGGCTTATAGCTCCAAACGAGAAAATAAAGGAAAACTTTTAAGAGTTAAAACTTATATCTCTTATAAGAAAAGGAAACTAAGAAAAAAGTTTGCAATTTAAAAGCCAAAGATAATTTGAATAGGAGATTGAAGAAACATGATGATATTAAATTGTTGGGAACAAAAAAATGTTGGAAATTATTATTTTTGTTAAAATTGTAGGAAATTATAATATAGAAACCAAACAAGAAGTCTAGATATAAATTATTTTATTGAAAGAAAAAGTCATATATCAATTTCCCCACATTATAATGTCATATACTCTCTCATTTAAAGCTAATTCATACATATATAAAAAAAAGTTGCACTTTTACTTTTCATTAATACACAATATCAAAAAAGTTATTGGTCAATGCATATTATAAGAACATAGATAAAACAGAAATTTTAACAAACATCTCTTTTGAAAATATAAAACGATATTTATTACTCTCTCCGTTTCAATTTAGTTGTCGTTTTAACACTTAAATTTTGTTTTACAATAGTTGTCGTTTTAGATTTTTAATGCAGATATTTGGTAAAAATTCTAATTTTATTTTGACTGTTTTAATGTTTGACCAGTAAAAAAAAATTCAAGAATATATTAAACAAAAATAAAGTAGAAAATTTAATTGTTTTCTTAATTTTTTGTGTAAAACCTTTAAACTACAAGTAATTTAAAAGGGATGGAGTATGAATTAAAATTTAAGTGTTAAAACAATACTTAATTTTTAAAAGAGAAATTGCACTAAATAACCTAAAAAAAAAAAAAATTAAATATTTAACCTCTAACCCCACTATTCACTCTCTTTCTCTTCCTATCTCTTTCTACCCTTCTTTCTAAAAAACTAATTTTTCTTTTTTTTTGGATTATTCACCTAAATCACCCTTTTTAAAAAAGGGAGTAGATGACAAAAAAAAAAATGAAAGTGAATATCAATTGTTAGCCATGAATCGAATTGCCTTGAAGCGTGTGCATGTAACGCCTTCTACTATCAATTTCATCATTTTCTTCTGAAACGAGGATTCTGTCTATTCAAAAACAATTTCAGTTTCGAAATTTTTTTGGGTCATATATTCTAAATTACTTTAGAAAATTAACCCAGCAGTCCACAATCAAAAATTTTAAGAACTAATATTAAATTATAAGTATATAAAGAACATATACCAATCTATTTACTATCAATTGATTTTAAGTTAGAAATTAGTGAAATTTAATATGGTCTGAGAGCTTCATATATAATTTTTTTACCGATTTTAGAATGGAATTTGGTTCAAAAATAAACAGATAAGTGTCAAAACGTGTTAAGTGTCTACATTGAAAATTTGATATCCATACCATAACGAAAGTTTGAAAAAAACCAATAATTAGTATATAAGAAACATGAATCAAACCGTTCTTTGCCATTTTTATGAGTTTGAGATTTATGAAACTTAAAATTTATTAATTTGCTAATTATGGTACTGCATGTAAATGTTTTTTTAATATATCAAACACATAAAAAAGTAAGCCGATTTTTATTTTTATTTTTAGTTTAACGAGGTTCATTGGACCTCCTCTCAATCTTTTGCTAAGAGGTATTGCAAATTAAATTGTCTTTTTCAGTATATCTAACACAGAAACAAAAAAACAATTTTTTTTGTCATCGAGATTCATTAGATTTTTTCTTAATTTAATACTGAGAGTTGTAATCGAACTCTCATGTTTAAGTGCCATTCATATAATAGATTGCAACGCCACTTGTTCTAGAAAGATTTGAGCTAGTATGTTTATTCTTTGAAACGTTTGAATATGAACCGTATTTAGAAAACTATTGTTATGCGTAATTGCTTTCAACGTTTCAGAATACTTCTAATTGTTTAACCGTGCCTTAGTTGATTAACTAACAGCATTTAATATTAATTTGCACACATATTCCCTCCTCTATATGCTACTACTCGATCTTTGTGGTGCCAAGCTATATATTAAAGAAATTGAAATTCTTACCAAAGTTTCCCCACTTGTTTAATATGTATTATTATTTATCCACTTTTACTGTACTAGAAAGGGGGTCGGACATAAGTCGCATAACTAAGAATAATTTAGTTGATAAGAACGGATAATTAACGATATCTTTTTCCTTCATACTAAATGAATATTTGGTGTAGCAATTTTTTTTACAACTAACTCATGGTTGTCTAATATGTATGTGAGGTAAAAAATACATATATATGTGCATTAGTGCATATCCAAAAGCATTTGTGTGCACACATTAAATTATTTGATGATCGAAGCATGTCAGTACTTTACAAATGATTCATATGTGAAAGCTCTAGAATATGCAACGAACAGACAATAAGAATTGAAAATGAGTTTATAGATAACAAATTACTTGGTTGCACATAGCTCTGAAGAAAATTGAAGGCTAGCTGAAGATTGGACCAAACATAAAAATAAATTGACGAGGGAAAATTAACCATTAATAACTGCTAAATAAGGTTAACATAGAAATGTCTAATTTCTAAATCGAAAGATCGAAAACATGGAGCTAAGTAACTGAAAGTTTTGAGAGGAATAAAAAAACAGAAGATGTGGAATAGACTAATTTCTTAGTTATTGAAGTGAAAGGAATTGAGATATTAAATTATCAAAAAAAAAAAGGAATTGAGATATCTTTATTTTGATCATAGAATATTAGAATGTAATGATATTTTTTTTGGACAAATGATGCATTAGAAAAAACTCTCACGTTGATATATCTACTTCATGTAGTAGACATGAAATGTGGATCTTGTTGGGACGAAAAAGAGAATTGTAAAGATGTGTGGATTTAGTTACCTTTGAAGCAGTCTCTTTAACGTGGATGCATATGCCTCACGCAACCAAGTAGTCTCAATCAGAGCCGTTCATTTACATGACCGGCGACAATCAGACGACTATCATGACGTGACGATGCAATCGCACAGTCTGCTTGATACACACGTGCACGGGGCAAAAGTCACGTGCGGTCAAAATGTCAGAGCAGAAGCTGAGCTGTTGTACCACGTGGAGGTGGTCGGAAGCATCGGTACTTGTTCCACGTGGAGGTTTCCCCCAATCTATCTTACCACACATAGGTATTTAATACCTCTAGTTACGTTTTTCCAAATGTTTATATAATTAAATTTATCATATCCGAATCCTTCAAAATTCAATTACGTTTTTTTTTCCTAAACATAAGTTCTGTTAAAACACCTACCGGGGTTGAGTTCTTTCTAATCAAGGATCGGTTCTATATAAAATATTAAAAATATATATTTTAAATTAAGTTTGAATATGGCCCATAATATTTTCTGTATCTAATATTTGTAAAGTTGCACTTGAAAATGATTGACTACATGGTTATAACATGATGCACGACATATCATCAAGTTTTATTATATTATAGTGTACAATAAGATTTATGTCTGAATTAACTGATTGAGAATTGAGACCATTACTATATTGGTCGAATCTCACAAACTACCATAAAATTCTATTAGTGTCATATTCAGAAGTTTTTAAAGATTAGTTAGTCGTAATACATGATCTCCCCCATATATAGTTTCCTACAAATAAAACGATCATCAACCTATACATCACTGGACTACAACACATTTGTGACAAAATCATTTATTTTATTAATATACAAATGATACCAAACAGGTGGCCTCCGAATCTATATAGTCGTTGGATTGGACCTCAAGTTGCATAATGCGTTGCATATGTTAGTAGTGATTAGTAACGTTACGTTACTAGGAACTAACACCCCATACAAAATTCAATCCTTTCCATCCTTACCGTCCACGTGGTACATAACGATTGATTAGATTTTGAACTGAGATCATCTCGGGACCCGTACATAAATACTCTCATCGTCGGTCCATGTATTGTTTTTCTTATTACAAGATCGAAGTTTGGTCTTTATAAAAAAAAAGGGCCAATAGGGGATGAATCCAAAATTTGAGTTCTATGGCTATTAGATTCACAATGTATATGCATATGTATGTAATATGCATAGTAAATGTTTTATATAGTTAAGAATAATCAAAAACAAAAGTTATATGGTTAAACTAATGGGTTATGGACTAAAGTAATTATTTGCCAGCAATCCTGTGGAGCGACTAATAATGTAATAAGTCCTCACAAATCATTTTAAATTGTTGACAAACGAAGATGATCACAATTCATTATCATTGAATTTTATGATACAACTTTAACAAAAAGTTAATAAGTAAAAGAAAAAAAAGATGATTACGGCTTACGGGTCAACATTTTTAACAATACCTTTTTTCTCATTTTCATAGATCTTTTTGGTGACTAGTTATGTGCCACTATAACCCGGTAACCCCATCCACCAATTATCATGTCTTTTTCATTATTATATTTTATGTGTTGTGAACTGTGTCTTTCATTAATAGAAAAAGGGATATATATACAAGGATAATAGCAGGATACAGAGAATAAGGTAAAACCCTAATGGGCTGTGGGCCAGTTATGGAGTCCATCCATATGGTTTATAACACTCCCCCTTGGAAGACATAACCGTGCCCGATACTAAACCGGGATCTCTATAATGCGCTGGGGAATGTTGCCTCATTAAAACCTTACCAGGAAAACCCAGTGGGACAAAACCATGGTGAAGGAAAAAGAGTACAACACGCATTACTCCCCCTGATTTGAGCATCACTGTAGATCCTTAAGTCCGTGCATCCCGATCTGATGAATGAGCTTCCGGAACGTTGAAGTCGGCAATGATTTGGTGAATAGGTCGGCTGAATTCTCACTTGACCGGATCTGTTGAACTTTGACCTGACCGTCCTTCTGTAATTCATGAGTGAATAAGAGTTTTGGCAAAATGTGCTTCGTCCGGTCTCTCTTAATGTAGCCATCCTTGAGTTGAGCAATACAGGCTGTGTTGTCTTCAAATATGATGGTCTTTGATGTAGTAGTAGCTGCGCCTTAAGGAAGGCTGCCTACGTACCCGTGGAAGGGATCAAGCCACACGTAGTTCCTATTCATTGACCATGCCATAATCTGATCTTATGAATAACCTGCATCAGCAAATCAAACTAAACCAAAGCAAACTGGACCTTCTTTGGTTAGATCAGTATAGAATAAACCCAAGTAAACAACGCAGGAAGAATAAACTTTAAAATTTAACCAAACCTTCCTTTAAACCTTTCCAGTGCCTTTGGGTTGATCATGAACTAAATTTAGACAGGAGACTCACGGCAAAACAAATGTTTGGTCTAGTGTGTCTAGCCAAATTCATTAGAACTCCTATGGCACTGAGGTATGGCATTTCCGGACTGAATGGATCACTATCCAATTTGAGGCTTCTCACCACCATTGGGCCTGGTCAATGGGCGGGCCTGGTCCTTATTAAATCTCCTTGAGTACTCTTTCAGTGTATGCCATTTGATGCACAAGGATTCCATTATTCACGTACTCAGGTTGTAATCCCAAACAGAACTTAATTATTGCCTAGGTCTTTCATTTGAGATTCTTTCTTTAGATATACTCAACTGTTTGGGCGATTATCCAGAGGTTTAAATCATTCATATACACTGCTATGATTACAAATCCTTTGTTTGCAAACTTCTTGATAAAAATACATGGACTGATCGGATCGTTTTTATAGCCTTCTCTGATGAGATATTCGCTTAACCGGTTATACCACATACGTCCGCTTTGTTTCAATCCATATAAGGATTTGTCCAGCCTTATGCAGTGCTGTTCTCGAAAATCTTTCTTATCTTTGAGCTCAATACCCTCTGGTAATCTCATATATTATCCAGTGGACTTATATAAATATGCAGGCATTACATCCATTAGCCGCAAATCTTTCTCTTTTATATAGCCAGACTTAACAAAAATTTAAATGTCTTAGCATCCACCACAGGGGAGTATATCTCCTCTAATTCTGGTCTTTGTGTGAATCCTTGTGCGACAAGCCGTGTCTGATATATCACGCTTTCACTATGTTTATTTCACATAATCACAAAGACTCATTTCACTACAAGAAAATAGTGATATTACAACAATAAAATTTGTTGCAATAATTTAACATATCGTTGCAACTCATGACATTGCAACAAAATTGAGACACATTTTGTATTGTTGCAGTTTGAGCGTTGCAAATTCGCATTTGTTGCACATATGTTGCAATATTTACAATGAACTAGCTTCTTGCAATATATGTCGTATTAATGCAACATTACTATTGTAGTAAATTTGTCGTATAATTGTAACGTACGTTTGCAACTCTTAATTGTTACAATTTATTGTCACATATAACGTGTAGCAAATAACATTACAAATTTACAATGAATTAATTTATTGCTATATATGTTGTATTATTGCAATAATATTCATGCAGCAAAATAGAGGTATAATTAGGACGTTTTAGTGCAACTATGAATCGTCATAATTAAAAGCTACGTAAAATATAAAGCAAATATTATTGCAAATTTGCAGTAATTATTTTTTCATATATACTTGTTGCATATATTTTATGACGATGATCAAAACAAAATTTGTTGCAAATATGGCTAGTGCAAATTATATTCGTCGGATTATTACGACATATGTGTAGTCACAAATCCATTGCATATTCGTAAGGTTGCAATTCATTTTGCAACATTAGTTTTAATCAATGTATTTTGCTATATTTTTTTCTTCGGCACATTAGTTATTAATAAACAATTGTTTATTTAATATTTTATTAAAATAAAATAAATATTCTGATAATAACATAGTAAAAGAAAAACTTATTTTATTAAATAATCAAATATTGAAATATTCCAGCAATGCATAAAAAATAGTAGAAAACAACCAGCAATAAATAAAAACGAAATTCATAATAAAAACTTAAAAAGCAAAGCTAAAACAACTAAGTGAACACTTAGTTGTTTACACCAGTAGAGGATAGACGAGGGGACAATAACTCGAGCATTTTCTGGAGTCCTTCAAGCTTGTTGAGCCTCTCTTTGATTTCCATATTTTCTTGATAAATCTCTTCTAATTTTTGTTTGAAAGCCGCCTCGTTTTCCATGTGATTTTCAAAGATAGCCGAAACTCCACCTTTGCCAGAGAATTCACTGAGAAGAGCTCCTAGACCGAACACACGACCGTTTGTTGCCTCTACAATCTGTAGTATATAGTAAAATTTTTGTAAGACAACTTAGAATATTTGAGATTCAATAGAAATTTTAAAGAAATTATTATGTTACCTTTAAATACATTTCATTCTTTTTTTCATGAGTTAGCTCTTCGGCTGGTGGGATTTCATCTTCAAAAAGATCAGCTACATTCTTCTCAAATCCCTCACTAATCTGCTTTGCCCTCTCATCAACAAATGATCCATCAGGTTTCTTGTGGGTCTCTCGAAGAACATCAATGTATGATGCATCTCCCGTTTTTTCTTTCTACAAAATATAAACACAAACATTATAATCAAATTTTAGAAACTGTTTTTTATCTTGAAAAAATTAGTATTACTTACCAAAAGATCAGCAACTTTGGCATACGAACGTGAACCCGCTCGATGCTTATGAGGTCCCAAACCATTTCGGTCAGACATCCGGCTCTTGGAAGCTTTTTTGCTTCTCTCCTTAGCTTTTTCTGTTCCCCAATACTCAACCAGAATTTTGTATTGATCATCAAGGATCCAGTATGGCATTTTACCTCTTTCTTTAACTCGGCTAATCATATCAATTAGCTTAGTTGCAGCACATTTGTGAAACATCGTTTTCACCTCTAATTCAATTGTGGGATGCCAATTGAATTTCCTCTAAAAAATACAAAAAGTTAATATAATGTAACTTCATTACGCTTATAGAAAATAAATAGGTTGATTAATTTTATTATGACTATATAAAATAAATAGGTTTATATAAAATAAATAGTGGACTCTAGAATCTAATTATATATCTTTATTACGATTCTTGTAAAATGAACTTTAGAGATATAAGTATAGACACGTGAAGTTTAGTGTACATGTCAATATTTATATCTCTAAAGTTCACGTGTCGATACTTAATACATGTATGGTTCAATTAAACTATTATGAACAAGGTGATCAACGTTATGCATGTTTATTAATTTGTACTTTATTAATATTATTGTCAATAAAATCTGATGGACGAATATAACAATATTACTCTTGCTAATTAAATGTATAAAAAATTAAAAAAGAAACCATTACCTTAAATGTGTTAAACCATCGCTCTTTCACATTTATTGGTGTTGTTGAATAATTTCGATACGCACCAGGAAAGTCAGATCGAATTATTGTTCTTATCTCACTAGTGATTACAGAATCACGTTTGAACCTGAAAATGAAATCAAAATAATTAAACCAATAATACTAAATAAAAGTTCATAAATATTTATATTTCTTCTTACCACAACGTTCCATTCAATCTTGATGGATTAAGAACACCTAAAACACCTGGAGCGCCTCCTTGAATTTGATTTTCATTTTCCATAGGATTCATCTAAGAAAAAAACTATGTTAATACTGAAACAAAACTTATACCACTTAACGCAAAAGCTATATTGCTAATCAGATCTGATAACAAAATTGGTTAACGAAAAACTGTGTTTACCTTTAGAAAAGAAATGTTGCTTGTTAATGTGTTGTATTGATGAAAGCACATCCTTAATCTATATATATATATATATATATATATATATATATATATATTAAATTGAATAAAATAAAATCTTATATTTGATACCAAATAATACTGGATATAGCCAAATCTTTAAAGTATTATTGAAACTAAAACAAATAAGAAGCGGCAAGAGGTGAAGTTGTGTTTAACTAAATGAATTAGAGAGGATTCGGGAAATGAGAAAAACATTTAAGCGGCAAACTGTGGCGGGGAAAAAACTTTAGGATATTTGACAATATTTACCACGTGGACCTAAGGAACATTATCAAACACTTTTTTTTTTGTCATCAACATTATCAAACACTTGTAAGATAATTTCGTGGCAGCAGAATGGTAAAGAATCAAAATTGGAATATCAAAACAAAGATCTCCATAATAATAAAAATAATGCATTAATTTAAGATGCAACAATAAAATCTTCTGAACAAACTACTCTATAAAATACTTTAAGAGCTCTTTTTGTTTCTTTTTATTCCTTACTTTCTAAAACAAAATAAAACAAGAAGAAAACATGGAGAAAAACATCAAAGAAAAAGAACAAGGTAAGTACTCAAGGGATGTTTACATGATAAAATCATACTCTACCCAGAAGTTTGATTTAAACAAGTCACCTGATGATCAACAAGAAGAAGAAGAGATTCATGCCAAAAAAGAAGTTGAAAAAGCTATGATATTGGATATGTTGAAGATTTATTTACCCAAGCTTTTTTAGTTTTTATTGATTTCTCTTAATTTTCTGTTGGGATATTTATGTTTTTTCTTATATTACTCAATAAAACAAAAAACAATGGAAGTACTCTTTTGGTTTTATGACCGTATGTCAACGTATGGATAGCGCAACCCTCGTGTTTAGTTGCCACCGTTGAGATATATAATTAATATGAAGTAGCAATGCATCACGATTGCCCCATATATATGGTGATTGAATCATATGCAATTAAGAGCTATTTCACTTGAACCAATAGTTTCATCGGCTCCTTCACCTGAAGACTCATCTCTCGAGTCGATATACACTAATGCACCATTAGTAGTTGATTCTTGGATTCTTTGATAGTTCAACGAGTCATTCAATTAGGGTAAACTAAAGAAACCAAAACCAGAGACATAGATATTCCGAAACAAATTCAAAATAAAATATCCATAAGAAAATAGCAAAATTAAAAATTTCTTTTTTGACGAAAAACTTTAAAAGGGTATATATCAGTAAAACTTTCAAAAACTAGAGTATATCAGTCTGAATTGTCTTCGGTTGTGTCAGAATCATTAGATTTATCACCTGAATCTGAATCTAATTCTTCATCAACAACATTTTCGAGGGTTACAAATTGGCCTAGCTGATCAGCTAAATCATCAACTATTATAAATGGATCAGCCTCAACTAACGTATAATCATTCTCATACTGCAAAGGACTCAAATCCTCCTCTTCACTGGATATAATCTTTCCTCTTGGTGGTATCCTTATTGCAGCATACCAATCACCCTTCTTTTTACTAAGACGAGGATATGATACAAAACATACCTGATCTGCTTGGCTAGAAAGAATGAAAGGATCGTACTTTCCGTATTGACTAGCGCAATTAACATCGATTATCCCCGATTTGTTTCTCCGTATACCTTTACCCATTGTTGAGTCATACCAATTGCATCTAAAGAGAACAACTCGGAGACCAACAATTCCCGGATAATAGAGCTCTAATATTTGTGTTACGATTCCGTAAAACTCAGGTTCTTCATTAGAATCACAGGAAGATGCCCCTTTCACACAAACACCATAGTTGAATGTTTTTCGATCTTTTCCGTGTTCAAACGTGTGAAAGTTGTACCCTCGAGTAAAAAACATCGGCCAAGTTGTTACTTTAGTTGCCGGACCTTGTACCAATTCATGTAACCATATTGGATAAACACTCCGGTTTGTGTCGAGTTGAATCTGAAAAAAAAGATGAATAATTAAACTTAAACGTAACAATAAGCAACATATTTTACTTTCATAATTAAACATATATTAATTAAATACTTACATGCTTCTGCAACCATGATGTAAAATGCAATTCTTTTAACTCATGTAATTGAGGCGTATTAGTAAATGAATATGTCTTTTTCATGTCTTCCTCAAACAACCTATAAAAGAAAGTATAAAATATGAGTATTAAAAAAATAAATTTAAAGACGTACTCAACGTCAACTAAGAATACGTTGGACATGAATCATTACACAAATATATTTAATCAAATTAGAAAGATATCATACCTTTCAAAACGTTGTAGATAGCCACAATTCAAAAGGACATATGAATGGGCATGGTTGTAATCTTTAGAATCTAACCAAACATCTTTAGTCTTACCACTACCTCGTCCATCTTGTACAAATATCTCAGGAATATCTGGAAATGAATAATCATATGCGACGCCTCCATCATCATTGCGAGGTTCATTTCGACTCTTGGTTTGGATATGAGCTTCGAAATAATAAGAGCTGAAATCTGAAATTTCCTCGTTCACATATTGTTCCACGATAGATATTTTCTGCAAGATATTTTTACATGTCGTAATAATCTTGCTAATTTGCAACACAAAAATGCAACAAATTGTTTTATTGTTATTTTGCAATAAACTTGTAACAAAATTGTAACTTGCACTCATCGTTGCAAAAATATTGCATATTTTGTTACTAAATTTTAACGAATACAGTCATTGCAAAAATATCGTTGCAATAACACTGTTTTCTTGTAGTGTTTGTCCCACTGGCTTTACATTGAATGGTGTTCTTCGTATTGGACCAAACACATTCTTCTTCTTAATGATTATTAGCTCCACGTTTTATGGTCTTGTACCATTTTAATCAATCAGGTCTTTGAGTGCACTCTAGTATAGACGTGGGCTCCTGATCCTCATTCATTTCAGTTGCTATCTTGTACGCAAATATTTTATCATTGATGTCGACATCTTTTCGGTTCCATTGTATTCTAGACATGATATAGTTTATAGAGATCTCTTTACACCTTCAGGACCTTGAGGTTTGGCGTCCCAAACCTCATTGATTGGTACCTTAGGGTTATGTCTATTAGCCGGCCATGTCTATGGTTTCTTGAACCTTCTCGGTTTCCCTTGCACCTTTCTTTGATTTCCGAGGGTTCTTGTCTTTGGAACCTTTTGGGTCTACCACATTTCTTACGTGTTGTAGCCTCTGTAGCAACTTGATTGTGTTCCTTGTAAACATCAATACGTACTGGTGCATTACAAGCTGGTATGTACGATTTTGTTACTCTCTTTGGGTCATTATAGGAATCTTGGCAACTGTTTTAGCTAGCTTTTGCAGATATATAGTCTTTTGGATCTCTGATGGAGTCCGAGGATCTTGCCATGTGAAGGATGTTTGATTCCATGTAAGTTCTTTGACCAGCTTGTTAGTCTCTCCACCCAGTGTTGGGAAAACGGATTCATTGAGATGACAATCCTTGAATCTGGCCTTTGGCTCGAGATACTTAATGATGGTGGGAGAATCATTGTTAACGTATATTCCCATCCCCTTTTGAGGTCCCATCATTTGCTCTCTGTGGTGGTGCAATGGGTACATAGACTGAACACCCAAATGTCTTAAGATGGGAAACGTCTGGCTCATGACCCGTTAGCAATTGGGATGGGGAATATCTATGCTCACTAGAATGGCCTGATGCGTATAAGCTCTTGTTGCATGTAATATTGTGTGTCCCCAAGTATGGACATGTGCCACGGGGTATACTACTCTCCCCCTCATGGACATACTGTAGCCATAAAACGCTTGAGACATAATTTACCAGCATTATCTAGACATATAGTCTTAAGTATGTGGGCTCACAGACTTATGGTCTGGGCCAGCAATCTAGCAAACACCAAGTTTCTAGTTGCTTTGACTGGTGATGACCTTAGTATGGGTTTCCCTTGTGTACATGCTGCACACGTGAGGTCCTTAAGGAGTGTGCCCTTTTGATTTTAATATCAGCTTTACGCATCATGTTAGAACCAGGCTGGCCAAGCCGGTCATGCCATTAGTGAATTTCTCAGTAAATCCTTTTGTTTACTGTATTAGCCTCTATCATATTGACCTTGGCATAGTAAAGGTCTATGACGCGGGTATAGTCTCTAAGACCTTCTCATGGTCTTGGGTGCTCTTAGTAATATATGGGAATCCTTTGTTCCCTTCACCCTTGGTTTCAATGTGGAAACCATTCAAACACTTTTCTTTGAAACTCAACAAGGCCCCTTTGAGCTGGGTGAATATGAAGCATCTGAGGATGCGTGCCCTTGGGAATATGGGCCTGCCATGGGCCTGCCCTTAGCCTTCACTAAATTTAGCTATACCCGCAATTTGGCTAATCAACCATGTCTTTGGATATTTCGTTGGCATTCCGAAGTCTCATAGTCATCTATCTCATGGTCGAAATCTTCTTCACCATTGTGATGAAATGAGCTTCTAGATTCTTTTCAAACTCTCTTGATAGAGATCAATGAGATGCTTAGGAGTCATGCACGTCTTAGTCCAATGGTTTCCCCATTCCTCATCAGTGGCAAACAAGTTTATTTGAGTGTTGTGGTTTGGGTATACCACGGCCTCTAACTCGATTACGACCAAAGTCGGGTCGGCGGCCTTAACCATATGAATGGTTTCCTTGATCATATAAATTATAATTGCCATGATACTTATCTTTTTGGACGTGGTTAGACTCTTTAGTCTCTTTATGCTCTTTAGGCTCTTCAGCCCAATGGGCTTCTGATAATGGGGTAGGACCAGGAGGTCTCATTTCACTATTCATAACTCATTGTTTTGCTCAGCAAGTAGCAAAACAAGAGTTTAGACTTGCATATGTGGTAAAAACCTTTTTTTTTTTTTTTTTTTTTTTTTTTTTTTCACGATATTGTTGCTGAGGCAATATATTGTTTGTGTGAAAGGTCGAGAATGCTTTCTTTAGCAAGTCATTCTCAGTAATTTCCTCACCACGGAATCTCAGTATTGACACTATTTTAAATAGTGCTGAGTTATACTCATTCATGGATTTGAATTATTAGAATCTGAGATTCTTTCGATCGAATCGGGCTTTTGGGTAATAGCACCGTTTTTTTTTTTTTTTTTTCAACTCTGTCCTGAGGTCCAGAGGATTCTTAATAGTGAGGTACTGATTTTGAGACTCTCATTGAGGTGATGGCGTATGTTAGTAATCGCCTTATATCTTTCTCTTCTGGTGATATTGTTTCCTTCCATAATAGATTCACCAAGCTCTTTTTCCTTTAGGACAATCTCGGTGTCCAAAGCCCATTGTAAATAATTGTCACCAGAGGCATTGAGTGCCGTGTATTCATAATAGTTGATTTCTGATATCTATAATATATAGAGTTAAATGAGAACTCATGTAATCGGTTAGACCAAGTCATGCGGTATTTAAGACCGAGTCATGCTTGTCTTCAGCAAGTGTTTTCTAAACAATCATGTTATATATATATGGATGAAATCAACCCTAGAAGATTGATCTAGTATACAACAACCAAACAATCGGATCATACTAGATTAGGATATTAGGATTTCGCGGTTAAGTTTTAGGGTTTTAGCATCCGCGATTTATAGTACTAGGGTTTTTGCTAGGATTTCGGTTTTATGTATGGAACTTTCTATTTATGGAAACTTTCCTTATATGGAACTTTTCTTTTATGGAAAATTTCTATTTCTCATCTAGAAAGAAATCCTAAACAATTATGTACTTTAGGGTTTTGGAATATTTCCTTATGAAGGCGTTTCCTATTTTGGTAACTTTCCATTTTGGGAAACTTGCTATTTTAGGGAACCTTTTATTTTGGGAAACTTGCTATTTTACGAAACTTTCTATTTCTGTAAACTTTCTTTATATGGAAACTTTCTATTTATGGAGATTTTCTATTTATGAAAACTTTCTATTTCTGGAAACTTTCCTTATATGGAACTTTCTATTTATGGAGATTTTCTATTTATGGAAACTTTCCTTATATGGGAAACTTGATCTTAAACCGTGACTTAGGGTTTATTAAAACCGGTTTAATCGAGGATTTAGGGTTTCGGTTTTCTTTTGGATTATACCAAACATAAGTCCGGTTTTAGGTCTATAATCAAACCGCAACTTGCAGTTAGGGTATCGCATTTTAAAATCGCGATTAGGATTAAACCGGTTAATCAAACCGGTTAATCAAACCGGTTATGTTCTGGTTAAGGTTTCGATTAAGGTTTCGGTTAAAAACGGAAATAGCGGTTTGGTTTTCACGATTAAAATCGCGATTAGGGTTTATATTTATGGAGGTGGTATGAGAGAACAATCAAGCAAACCGGTTTAACCGCGTATATGATGAATAATAACTTTAATATGCTAAATTTATGATTATCAATCAATTTATAACTCAATCGTAGCGTGTGACTATAATTACTCTTTCACAGATTATTATAAACAATTTTAATACGTAAGTAATAGCGATTGACTTACGACTCTTAATGGCAAATTAGCAATGATCAATACTCAAATATAATTAGATGAAATACTATATATAATATTTGGTCTTAGAACAGTTAAGCATAATTCAATTATGAATCAAATTTATAGCAATAACGTGATGAATTAAATAATAATTGAAATATGTTAAACGTAGAGTATCAATCAATCTACGACTCCGACATATCAAACGTGCAAAGTAATATTGTTTTCTTATGAGAATTAATTAATACAACATGACTATAATAACTAGGAAGATCAATAACATAGACTTAGGTGCTTTTAATAATAAAATAATATATTATATGAACAGATCTAATGCAATGATAAACAACGATCGAAAGCATGGATCAGTTTTGTATCTTAATTAATTAAGCATGACAATATTGACTACATGAATCAAACGTAGACTTAGATGCTTTTAGTAGTAAAATATATTATATGAGACTATGAACATAATAATATTCAAACAATCTTATGCAACGATTAAATAAACAAAACATGAACCAAACAAACAATCATGCAATAACAATCATGCAAGAACGATCTGTTTAGAAAGTATGAGTGGATCGTTTTATATATTAAACTTGAGGTTACTTACCTCGACGTGAAAGATGAGATCGGAAACGGACGAAAACGGCGAAGGCTTTTGTTTGCTCGGCGGCTAGGGCTCGTCAAGTTTAGGGTTAGGGTTTTTTTTTTTTTTTTTTTTTTTTTTCGAGCTTATGTGCTGATAACGTGTTGTGAACTGTGTCTTTCATTAATAGAAAAAGGGATATATATACAAGGATAATAGCAGGATACAGAGAATAAGGTAAAACCCTAATGGGCTGTGGGCCGGTTATGGAGTCCATCCATATGGTTTATAACATTATGAGCTTTATTGCCAAAAAAGAAGACCAAACCAAAACTAAAGTCCATTCGAATTTTAGTGCTTTTCCCAAATGTATTATGAGCTATATATATATATATATATATATATATATATATATATATATATATATATTTTCTGTCTTAGTCATTCAGATTAGAACAACCTTCACGAACGATGAAGTAAACTAGAAAGAACCACCGAAAAAATACAATATGGGTTTACACGTATTCTTGTAATTTTGTAAAGAACTAACCTCAAATGCCAATGATCACAAAAATTAGATTTTGTTTATAGAAAATCAAAGGTGAACAAATTCGTTATGTAAGTTGAAGGACCAGAGTTCAAATCTTTTCAACGGGATTTCAATCATATAACTTGATAATTTGCATACATTAAATGGTGAAAATGCTCGATGGGCTCTACTATAAATTCTGAAATTAGTTTGTGCTTCGGTTAGAGTCACCTTGTTTGTTGAAAAAGAAGAAGCCATTTACGAATTACGAACTATACAATTTAACATAGAGGAGAACAATGGGCGCAAATTACAAAAAATGGATCGAGAAGATAAACGCACACATGTCTACCTAACCAATAGTAACCATTATGGACACTGAGTTATTTATTGTCGAGGATTTGGGCCCAAAACATGACGATGATAGGACAAAACTTCGACAGGATGACGTGACGAAAACATGTCGGACGTGAACAAAACAGATTTTTTTGGCCCATGAAACTTGAAATTACTGTTAACAGTTTATTTGGAGCTATTGTGTAAAGTATAGGGAGTCTAGAGTAGCCCAATAAGAGATGGGCTGAGTCTCAAATTCAGTTTGAAAGATGTTTTGTAACGTACATTTTTAATTGTGTGCGTTATTTATTATACAGTGGAAACGCTTTTCACCTGGTGTCTCTAACTAATTCTAATTGATTGGAATGTTTATTACATCAAGTTTAGGGTCCAATAAACACAGACAACTAGAGTTTTTTGATGATACGACAACGACTCTTAACACATATCACTAGGGTACAAACCCTGATCAAACTGCTGAAATTTGTCGATTCAAAATTATAGACATCATTCATGGGACATCAACATATGTGTCAACATTTTAGCAACTGAAGTTGGTTACATGATGATATAGAACTTTGTTTATTGTGAATTATTATTTTCAAGGATTTGAGCCCAAATAGTTTTTATTTGTTATTAGTTCATGATTGGTAACATTTTTGAATTATCTATGAGTTATGTCCATAACTCAACTTAACTCAATGGTAATCCATGTTTACAATCAAAGCCAAAATAAAAGTTTACTAGTAGATGAATCAGCCCGTATTTTTAATTTTTATATATATGTGTTGTTTGATTTTCATTTTCAATGTGAGATTATATAACATATCTTTTCTTTGTTCAAATTGATGGCCTATATATAGGCCTGGGCAAAATACCCGGAACCGAATATCCGAACCGAAAAACCCGAATAATACCCGAACCGAATCCGAACCCGATTTTTAAAAATACCCGAATGGGTCCTAACCTCCTACCCGAAAAAAACCCGAACCGAACCCGAACCGAATCCAATACCCGAATATACCCGAATACAAATATACACCTAAAAATATTAGTTATTTTTATTTTTATAATACCCGAAATACCTAAAATTACAATCATAAAACCGAATATATTAGGTATTTTAGATATTTTTGGTTATATTTGGGTAAAGAGTAACCAATGTATTTTCGAGAAATCGGGTATTTCGGTTAGATTTGGGTATATATGAGTTAAAAACCCAAACCCAACCCGAACCCAAAAATATTCCGGGTATTTTTGGTTATTTTTGGGTATTTTGCTTTTTTATTAAAATACCCGAACCGACCCGATTCCGAACCGAACCCGAACCGAATTTTTAGAATACCCGAATGGGTCTTGACCCCCTACCCGAATAGATCCGATACCCGAAAAAAAAGAACCGAACCCGAATAGGTACCCGAATGTCCATGCCTACCTATATATATAATATATATAATTCTTTAATTTGAATCCCAATCATGCAAACATATAAGTCTCGAAAGCTATTGATCACTTGACCTAGTGAACAAAAGGGAGTCTTTTCTCTTTTCCATTAAAATAGTGCAAGTGTAGTAGGAACACATAGATAGATTGTAATATTATATAGATGTACTCTTCTAGAGGAAAAAAAAACCTTATATTTACCAACAACAACTACTACACAGAGAGAGATGTCCAAACACACAGGGAAATATTTTTATATATAACAAAAAAAAAAAATGTAGAGAGGAAACAAAACAGAGAAAAAAACTCAAAAATGTCCCCAAACGCAACTGCATACACAATTTTTTTTTCATACAGACCACTTCCTAACAAACAAAGACAAAGCTTAGACAAATCAAAGAGACACGAATTATCCATGAGAGTGAGAAAGAGAGAGAGAGAGAAAGTGTGTAAAATCTCTCTCTCTCGATCCTCAATCCAAAAAAAGATTTCAAGTCAAACAAACAAAACAAATAGTTTTTTTTTATTTAACAAAAAGGGCAACGCACACGCACATGGCTTAAATCTGTCCACCAGCGATTTTGGAGCGAATGAGTTGTAAAATGCCTTGCCCTTGTTTTGGATTGTTGTCCTTCTTTGTGAGTTTTGAGCCAGAGAGATTCATATCATGTTGTTGATGTTGTCGTTGCTCCAGAGATGTCTCGGCTGGATCTGTTGTATTTCATGTGACTTCTCACAAGCTGTCCAGCTGCAATTGCTGACATTAGAGATAACTCTCCCGCTAAAACTGCTCCGGCCACTATCGTCGCTAGCCTCCTTGAGTTCATTCCCGGCGACTCCTTGCTCGCTCCTTTAACTCCGAGCAGGTTTAAACACGCTGATTGAGATGCAAGCTGTGTTCCTCCTCCCACTGTCCCCACCTGATAATCCAAACCACAAAACCCATAATCAAACTCTCTGAAATTTCCAAGAGACTTTACAAGTGTGCTCAGAGAGAAAGAGATTTGATCAGTTTACCTCGATAGATGGCATAGTGACTGAGATATGGATATCTTTGCCGTCGTTAATAGCTTCCATCATGGTGATGCATTGAGAGCTCTCCACGTTTTGAGCTGGATCTTGGCCAGTAGCTATGAACACAGCAGAGACTATGTTACTGGCATGAGCGTTGAACCCACCTAGAGAGCCTGCAACAGCAGAGCCCGCAAGATTCTTGAGCATATTGAGCTCGACCAAAGCAGCCACGCTCGTTTTTAAGACCTTGTTCACGATCTCTCCTTTGATTACAGCCTCACAAACAACTGATTTGCCACGTCCCTCAATCCAGTTCACAGCAGCAGGTTTCTTGTCCGAACAAAAATTACCTGAAGAAATAAGATAAATAAATGTGAATCCAAAAGATAAAGAAGGAAAATAAAGATTCTCAGAAGTTCACGAGATAGCACCATCAAACAAAATAAGAGTTTTAAGTGAAATCAATCACACAGAGAAGGAAACTCACCAGAGATTCCAATGACATCCATGTCGGGAAAATCATCGGTAAGATATTCGAGAACATTCTGCACACCTTTAGATACCATATTCATCCCCATAGCATCACCAGTACTACAACAGAACCTTACATAAGCATTCTTCCCCGCGATTGTGCATTTAACACTTTGCAATCTTGCGAATCTACTCGACCTGCATCCAAATATCCACTTCTTCGTCAGTAAATCCCCTTGCAAATACTTTCGATGCAATTTTATAACACGAATTCGATGTAAAAGCTTCTAATCAAATCTAGTTGAACAAGTCTTCTCACTCGGAAATATATCTTTTATTTATGCCCACCAGACGACGTCAAACGCATTAAAAGTCAACAAAATCAAATCAAACGGGAAAATATTGGTTAAGAAGATGAACCTGTTGAAGACTACTGTCAGAGTATCAAAGTTCTCTGGATTCTCCAAGAAAAACTTAAGCTCGGAAGCTCGTCTCGCGGATGCGAACCGAACGACAGGTGCTCGAGTCATACCGTCCTTGAGAACCGTACTGGTGGCTCCACCAGAGATATACATGGCTTTGCAGCCTCTGTTAGTGCTAGCAACCAAACAACCTTCGGTTGTAGCCATAGGAACAGAGTACTCGTAACCATCAAGCAACAATGGTCCAGCAATCCCCACAGGAATCTGAATATATCCTACAGGCATCTCACAGCATTGCCCCAAAATCGATTCATAATCAAATCCATCCAACGGTAATCCTTCCATCGATCTCCCGGTGACTCTCTGCAACGCCTCCCGCCGAATCGACGCCGCTCTTTTGCAATCACCGAGACGAGATTCGAGCGAGTACGATGGAATCACTCCGTCGATAACGGATTTCACAATCTCCTCGTCTTTCTCAGGAAGCGATTCGGTGACAATAGGCTCCGGATTTGGTAACTTAGCAACGGAAACGATCGGAGTCGGTGGAGAGCACGTGACGAGGCGGTGGTCATCTTCATCGATCGTATCCGCGAGATCCCACGCATCACCGGAGGCGCGTGAGATAAATGACTGAACAAAGTCAATACCAAAAAACCCTAGGAGATAGATAAACGAAGCGATGAGAGCAATAATGGCGCCGAGTTCTGTGATAGTGACGACGTGAAGAGGCGTATTGTAACGGATCTTGTCACGCCACCGGTGGAGGAGATAATACGCGACGGAGAAGAAGAGCGTGAAGAAGACGGCGTTCGTGAGATATAATGGAAGAGGAAGCGCATCGGAGGCTTTAGGTGGAGGAGCAATCGTTGTAGTCCGGCGACGGTGATCATCATCGGAAGTGCGGGTTTGATAAGAACGGAAAGATCCGTCGGTGTTGTTGTTAACCGGTGGTTTAGGAGGCCTCCGTCGGAGATCCATTGGAGGGAATAATCTCTCCAGAGGGAGAGAGAGGAGAGAGGAGGAGGTGAGGTGGCGTGATAAGTGTGAAGGAGAGATTAAACAAGTTTTATAGGAGACGAACCCGCATGTCTGTTGGGGACCAGCTTGCTTTTTCTTCATTATTTTTGTTTCCATTTTTTTAAATTGTTTTGTGATTTAATTTATTTATTTTTGCCTAATTTTCGTAACTCATCTAATTTTAGGATTTCACGCATTTTTTTTATAAAAAAAAAAACAAAATTTGATGAGGAATTGGATTAGTTGTCATACGAGGATGTGAAATTGTGAATGATGATTGATTCACAAAAATCTGCATTAATTATAGATATTTGTGTACTTCAATTAATTTGATATGTTTTCCAACGAGCCAACCTGTCTTACAATATCGTTTATGCATAATAATTTCTTCAAAAACATACAGTATGTTATTTACAAAATCACTATGTTTTCTAATTGTTGTTGTTACTGTAATTTTGAATTAATATGTTCCGCGATTTTTTTCCTATTTCATATGAAATTGAAGCTGTCGTATATGATTTTATTGGTAATTTTGAATCGTGTCGGTAAAAAATGATTTTTTGAATGGTTCACTAATCATACGAGCATGAAAACAAAGTAAATAACAAAGAGATTCAACAACATCGGTAGTATCATCTACTTATATACTATTATTTTATGTTGGAAACTATAGATATGATCTTTTATCGTGGAGTATATTCATCTTTTTTTACGATAACGAAGAGATGAATAATCATTTGCGAAAGAAAAAAAAAGAATGTCATGATAATTTGTCTAATTTCCATCCATAATTTGGCTATACACCTAATTAACTCTACTTTACATATGAGTCCAAATGAACAATTTTCCAAGATAGCATAGTCATAGTATGGATATTTCTGTTGCAAATTAGGCCTCAAAGACTAATGGTGCCTAAAACATCTCATTACATAAACATGTTAAACTAAAATGTTTATATTTTTATAGTGCGGTACTTTTTTATTATCCGATGTCCCAAAGGGACCATTTTGTAGCACTACTTAATAAACTCAAAAGAATCACTATTTGATAAGATAACCTCTTTATTACATTTTCTTTGGGTAAATTTGGTTAATTGGATCACATTGTCGAATTAGAGGATGCACGGTTTAATTTACTTCTAAAGGATCAAATTAACATAGTTTTGGATTTTCTACTCGCAACAAAATTATTCCAAGTATAATTTTTTTTAGAAATAGCATGTTTACACAATCCTTTTACAACAACTACCATTCAATGCCTATGCGTTGAACATTATATAGAAAATTATAAATATCCCTATATCAGTCTGAATTTCTAAGATAATAAATATTTAGCGTGGAAATCCCAAGAAAATAATCAAATCACGAAAGAAATTTTGAATGCCTTAAAGCAACCATTTTTAATTTACATGAATTGATTTGGCTCATATAATACATATGAGTTCTTAACGAGATACACGTTACAAACAAAAAAAAAAAAACTAATCCAGACAAACTTCCTATACTAATAAGTAATAACCTTTTTGTCAACTATATATCAATAAAATTCAAAAATGAAATAATTTTCAATTATTAGTATAATTTTATTTTTATAAACGTGAGAAGTTTTAAAATTTAAACCAGTAAATAATAATATCATGCAATTTTAAAAAAATGTGAATGGTAGCAAGCAAGACACAAGATAGTAAGAATAAAAAATGATAAATTGTTATAATACTAATTTTGTGACGTAGGTCCATATTTGATTTGTCCTGAAGCAGTGGAAGTCACATTGTCACGTTCTGGTGGATCTCGACCTTACTCGAAGTAAGCTGACAAATAAAACCTACCTCCCTAAAGTAATTAAGTAATTGACTATTAAAAACCCATTGATGATTGAATTGCGTGGAAATCCCCTTGGTCCATTGGTTGATTAATGCTTCTACACCAAAAAGTCTGGGGTTCAAATTCCAAGTATTGCGATTTATTAACAAATTTGCAGATTAATGGAGGCAAGTGTGCAAGAGATCTCCAGCGATGTACAATTATAGCCGTTCGCCAGGATTCTACGCAGAGAAGGAAGTGTCGCCAGGTCGTGGATCATTGAAGGTATTCATCAAGATTACGAAGAAGGAAGTGTAGTCTGTCGTGAATCTAGTAAGGGTCGGAAGGAATTGTCAGTTGTAGAATCGTCTATGTAACAGTTCTCATAATTTGCAATTAATAATAAATCTAGACGACAAAAAAAAAAAATTGAATTGCTCCTCGAATAATATTCATTTGGTTTTATGTTCTCAGATTCCTTCCTACAAACGCACAAATCCTTCATTTTATTAATAAATAAAATAAAAAAGAAAGATATTTAAAAGATAATTACAAGATGTTTGGAAGATAATCTTCAAGTTATATGATGATCCTTTGACATAAAAAAAAAAAAAAATTCAAGTTACCAAATTAGGCCAAACCGGGCTATGTCGATAAGCTTGATGATATGTTGGATCTAATTCTGAAACAGTACTGAATAACAGCTTTCATTAGTGGACTAGGTCTAAGCAATAATGTGGTCCTATTTGTCCAGTAGGATGTTTTCTTGTACGACGTAATTAAAGAATCTCTTCTGTGTCTTGGGTTTGGTTCTCATTGGAGTAAGGTCGTATGGAGCCTAAATCGATTGTACTTGTGGGAATCTACGATTTCAGGGTTTCTGATTACAAGATTGGAATCCGAAAAGAATCGACGTTTCCATTACACAGAACACTCTGCTACATACTGTTATGTCTTTTAGTCTTCGTAAATGGTTTGCCTTGTCTCGGCCACGAGAACATGTTAGTGTTCTTGAAACTTCTCAACTTTCGATTGTGATTTTTGTCTCCACACAACCAGGGACTAAGTTATCGTGTTATGCTAATAATACTTGATTCTTGATTTGTTATTAGGTTTGATGTGAAAGCTTTATATGTTGGGAAGGAATTGTGGAGAGAGACTCTGTCATTGCAATCAGGTTCTCGGGTTTACAAGTTAGAAGGAGTAAAGTCTAATTCTTGTTATGAAGTGAAGATATCATACCCTGCTTCTGTGTTTTTTTTTTTTTTTTTGCTACTTTTGATCAACTTTGTTTTCAAAGGTTTTGTGCTGTTGAATTGACATCTGATGTTCTTGGCCTTAAACAGATACCAGCTCGGTTTTCTCTGAAACTACTAAAGAACCGTGAAATGGGATTGAAGCTAAACCAGATGAGGAGATTACTAAACACTGAGAAGTTGATGTTCAAGGTGGAAAGTTTTGAAGAAGTTAATAATAAGGTATTGCCATCAAGAATATATATAGCTTTTGTTAATTCCTTCGAACATGTCCTCAGCTTTTGGTTTTAGGCTGGATTGAATGTTTTGGTGACCGTGGAACCTGAGGGGATTGTGGCAATACCAAATTCCAAAGAAAGATCTATCATCATTTACAATATAGGCAAGCTCTTACATTATGTATCCATTTACATTGAGAGATAAGCACTCTTTTGCATATTTGTACCTACTTCTGAGTCTCAAAACTCTTTGGTAACAAAAACAGTTTGTGAAGAACAACTCATGGGCATACCTTATTCAAGCTGGTCAGTGGTTATATTAGTAGCTTTGTGTCTCGTGGTGGCGTTAGTTCCTTGTTTTCTACCATCTTCTCTTCTTCTTATAAAAAAAGATCAAGGTGCAAATTCGTCGCATCTCAACCACGGAAAGGATCCTTGAGATCATACATGTTCCTTATTGATATATATCTTGTCCGTTATCAATTCATCATTTTCATCATCTTAGTGTTCTTTTGCTCTTACGTTTAGTTAAGGGGAAATCTCCGATTTTAGTACAAACCGACAAAGCTCTAGTTATCTAAAATCTTTCTTTTGGATTCACTTTAAATCAGTTCTGGTTGTTGATTTACTCCAATTACTCTGATTCTGTTCTTGCACAATCCAACATTGTCTTTTCTTCTTTTGTTTCTTTATCATTGGAGACTTTTCTGCCCAATAGCGTGAGAGAAAAAGTGATCAAATTAGGTTGTGTTAAACTATTGTTCATGATAAAATTCAAAGTTCCTTCTGTTTCCTTAACTCAGTAATTTACCTGTGGAAATCACTGTGGATTTCTAAGAAAGGTCAAATTAGGCTTCTTAACTTAAGAAAAGTATCATGTAGAAATGTTTTCCCCTCTTCAAATATTTAAATTTTAAGATTATCACATATGTTAAAAAGATATATGAATTAATATCAAAAAAAAAAACTCATATAAAAAAAATCTTATGAAATGGTTAACAAAACTTGATTCTTTATTATTCCTTGGATACAAAAATTCATTTAACATTTCAAATTTTCAATATCTGTAAAATCTAAACTTGCAATCTTTATCCAGCTTAATTCCCTCAATTTTATACGCTACTTAAATTAAAGACGAGTTGTTAAAATAAGATGTGACTTGTGTATAAATACTTCGAGATCTGTGTTCTCTTTCGTTCACTCCAAAGAGCATCTCTTAAGTTGCTAAAGAGAACGACGCCAATGGCTGAAAAGCAAAAGGTCTGTGTTACTGGTGCTGGAGGGTTTATTGCTTCATGGCTCGTCAAGTTTCTTCTCTCTCGTGGCTACACTGTCCATGGAACCGTTCGAGATCCTTGTAAGGGAGAAGAAAGGACAAATCCTATCTCTTTGTTTACTCAGTGAACTTTTGAATTTTCTCTGTTTCTTGAGTTTGAGAAAGTTGCATGCATTGATTCATTGTTCTCAGGTGATGAAAAGAATGACCATTTGAGGAAATTGGATAATGCTGCACAGAATCTGAAACTTTTCAAGGCAGATTTGTTTGATTATGAAGGTCTTTTCTCAGCCATTGATGGTTGCTCTGGCGTTTTCCATATCGCTTCTCCTGTGCCTTTTGAAGGAGTTCCTCTCGCAGAGGCAAGTTCTAATCAACCATTGATTCTTGTTTTGTTTGTTTCTTGAATCACTAAAAAATTCTTAAAACATTCAGGAAGAACTGATTAAACCAGCTCTCACTGGCACCAAGAATGTTCTAAAAGCATGCACAGAAACTAAAGTGCAGAAAGTTGTGGTTGTATCATCAATTGCTGCAGTTGTCTACAATCCAAAATGGCCTCAAGATGTTGCTAAGGACGAGGGTTGTTGGTCAGACACTCAATACCTTCACTCACTTGAGGTAATATTGTATCTTTGAAGCTAGCATGTTGGTCAGATTGTCTCTGTTTTATATATATAAACTAAAGACAGTAACAAAATTGAGTGTTTCCTGCGACGCAAAACCTGAGGATCTCAGGGTTATTGGCCTTATTACTATCTGGCCAAAACATTAACGGAACGTGAAGCTTTAGAGTGGAGGAAGAGAAACTTTGCTGAGGTTGTTACACTCTGTCCGTCTGTCACGATAGGCCCTAGGCTACAATCTACGCTTAACTCTAGTAGTTTGGGACTTCTCAAATTCATAAAAGGTGACGTTAAATATGTAATGTGTGTTTCTCATACCTCCTATATATTACATACTTTGGTTTAAGTGATTGATTCATTCTTGAAAATTTGATGAATTGGTGTCTCTTCTTAGGCGGTATAAAGTCCTTGTTGAGCGATCAACTGTATCTTGTGGATGTGCGTGATGTTGCGGATGCACTTTTGTTGGTGTATGAAAATCGAGAAGCAAAAGGAAGATACATATGCAATTCTCATTCACTTCACATTGATACTCTTATGGAGAAGCTCAAGAATATGTATCCTAAACGCAACTTCCCTGAAAGGTAAGAGTAAGAACCAAGGGTTGATTTAAAACTTTGAGATTTCGGTCTGATCTGATGAAATGTATAATGACAGTTTCACTGAGGTAAAAGAGAAGGAAGTGAGGCCTCTAAGTGCAGAGAAGTTGAAGAATTTAGGGTGGAAGTTTAGGCCACTAGAAGAAACCATTGATGATTCTGTTGTGAGCTTTGAAGTAGCTGGTAATCTTCCAAAGGCATAGCTTACTCACAGTGACTGTTTCTTCACATTACATAAAGTGGTTCCATGAAATGGTTTTTTGTTAGAATCATTTCATTCTCAAATCCACTATCTATCATCATATTGGTGTTCTTCTTTGTAAAACTTCAGATATTTATCACTTTCAGAGTCTCACGGTTTCTTTATATCTCAAAACAATTTGGTTTTTATTGGATTTGAATCCGACCACTAGACTTAAAGTGTCTGAATCGTAGTCCGCGGCAAAAATAAAAACCAATTCAAATGCCGTTATAGCTTGATAGTCTAGTAGGTACAAATATAATTGTCGTTATAAGTTTTTGTAGTCTAGTGGTTACGGTTCCTTAATAATATCAATGACATTTGGACCACATTGTGGACTTGTGGGGTTAAATGAGTCACGAGCTCATGAACCCCTAGCCATTTATTTGGGATTTTCCGAGTTATACAAGTTTGATAGTGACTTACAAGTTTTATAAACTGATATAAAACCAAAAATCGTATCGAAATCTGGATTAAATTAACACCCCATTAACTAAAGTTATTATTTTTTGCCTTCGCAGCAAAACGAATTCACAATACTGTAACGTTTACTTACAAGTTACAACGGATAGATTTGATTCAGACAAAACATAGATCGATGATTACGACGTTAATTACAGAATTAGAGTTATAAATATGGGCCCCACGTCATTTACAATGGCCAGAAACAAAAGTATCTTTCGCTCTCTCTTCTCTCTTCATCTTCAACAAATCACGCACCATCATCATCATCATCTTCATCGTCATCACCAACTTCTTCATCATCACCATCAATGGAATTCCCCAAACCAAACCACCCTTTACCCTAAAATTGATTCATCTTTCTACCTTCTTTTAGTTTTTTAGGTTTTTAATTAACTTTTGCTTCAAGTTTTTTTTTTTTCCTACAGATTTCGAATTTCGACCCTGTAGCTTCGTTTTTGTTTATAATTTCTTGTGATCCTTTCTTTAGTACAAAAACCCTAATTTCACCCACCGACTTCTTCTTCTTCTTCTTCTTCTCTCTGTGGCCCATCCTTAAACCCACACTGCTTTTGCTTTTCCTTTTTTTTTTCCGGGAAATTTGATCTCTTTACCTTTCGTCATTATTAGTAGGGAATGATCTTTTAGGTATTTTGTTTCCCCCAAATCTCACTTTTTCTCCCTTCTTCTCCATCTCTATTTCACACAACCGAGTAAACCCTAGAATCTCCGCTTCTCATTCAATTGGTTTCATCACTTTCACTGGGCTTAATCATTGCAATTATCTCTAGGGTTTACTCGGTTACCCTCTATCATCATCACTTAGAAGAATTGATCCTTGTTCATAATTCTATCTTCTTTTCTTTGGCATAAAGATTCAATTTTTTCTTCTTCTTCTTCTCTATCTCACTCACCTGTAAGTAATCATGGCGTATCAGTCTGTTCCGGGTTCTGGGTTTCACTACTTGAATTCTCCTTTTGGTGATACAACTTTCACAAAGGTATTCGTCGGTGGCCTTGCTTGGGAGACTCAAAGTGAAACCCTTCGTCGGCATTTCGAACAGTTCGGTGAAATCCTTGAAGCTGTTGTCATTGCTGATAAGAACACTGGCCGATCCAAAGGTTATGGCTTTGTGAGTCCCCTCTTCTCCTTCTTCAATCTTTCTTGCTCTGGAATGTCTCATAGAGATGCTAAATGTTGCTTGAGAGATACAATTGAAACTAGGATTTTGTCATATAACTCTTATGGATCGTGTGAAATAGTTACAGAACAAAGAAAAGTCATTAATTTTGGTGTGATTCTGTTGCAGTTGTTTTGTGAATGATTGAGTGCTCTGTTTCTATTTCATATGGAGGATTTATAGGTGACTTTCCGAGATCCCGAAGCTGCTAGGAGAGCTTGTGCTGACCCAACTCCGATTATAGACGGTAGACGTGCAAATTGTAATCTTGCTTCCCTTGGGAGACCTCGGCCTCCATTGCCCTATGCATTGATACCTAATATGCCTGGTCAGTCTTGCTCTCTCATTTAGAATGGTTTGCTTTGGTTTAATATTCTCTACCTATATGTTGTTGTAGAATACTCGTAATTTAGTGCATTGGTGGGTTTTTGTGTGTTGTTAGGACGCTTAAGACCTGCTTCCCCGTACATTGGAAATGTGCAGGGTCCTCGTGGTTCACTTATTGGAAATTATCCGTATCAGCAACCACTTCCTTATAACTACCAGCAAGGAGTTGTCTATCCTTATGGGTGAGTCTTGCAATTCTTATGTCACACAGTACACTGATGTCTTTGCGCAAGTTTCTACAGTTCATTGAATTTGTTTCTAATGTTTGTTTTTATTTTCTATCTCAGGGTAACCGCTTATGGACCCGAGTATATGTACTCACAATCACAGGTTAGCATTGGGTATGAGCACTTGCTGTTATTTCTCTCCGTAGTTAAATGTCTTGTAACTTTGGCTATGTCTTTGCTTGTTTCATGGTTTAGGGTTTATATGGTCCATACATGGGTCAGCAGTACCTTCAGGTCTACGGAGTACCTGGAGCAGTGAATTCACCCATATATCAATACGGGCAACTAAGTCAGACTATTCCTAGTGGCCATGGTTATCCAGCAGTTCAAGGGTATTCAGTTCCAGGAAGCCATGTTCTGCAGCTTGGTGGACCCACGGTCAGTGCGATGACCACTTCATCTATGTCTGCTCTTCAAGGTCCTTACCCTTCAGGTATGCTCTGAGTGATCAAATCTCAAGAGTACTGGCTCGATCGCTTCTGAGTTAGAGGCATTATGGAAAAGCTAAGTTTATGTGCAATTAGTTATGTCCTCTTTTGAATTATGTATGTCAGGTATAACAGGCCCTGCTCCTGTACAGTCGCATATCATTGTCCACTCCCCTCAATTTATGCAGAGTAGCGGTTCTGACCAAACAACAAGGTGAGAATTAACACTATGCTTTCTTTACTTTGAGTGTAGTATTGAGGAATTATGCACATTTGTTTCTTTTTTTTCCACCGCTTGTATGATTGTAATGGTTTCAGTTATTCTTGAGGACCGAGGGAAAAAGGAAGTTAAGCGGTAGTGAAACTGCTACTAGATGTGGCAGCAGAGACTTCTTGTATTATTAAGTCTTGCACGTTATTTATCTTGCACCCTTAAGGTATGTGTTTCTTATTCTGCATTATTGTAAATGCATAAACAGAGGATGGTCATCATCATAATGCTGATCTCATTAACGTGGGATCTTATTGATGTACAGGTTATATAAAATAGTCTTGCTCACTGGAAGGCTCAGAAGGAAAAAAGAAAAGGAAATTGGAGTTTCAGGGTTTACGCTTCCGTTTTCTTACCCATCCATCAATGTGTATAAAACACAGTCACAAAAAAGCTACTGGCTCAAGCTCGGGTTGAGTTTGAAGGCACCATAGCGGGTTTCCCTCGGAGGGAAGACCATTAGTAATAAGTTGGTGTACAATATGCATATATATTATATACACACATACACAAGCATATACATATGGTAGAATCAAAATCTGATTCTTTTCTAGTCTAAAGTCGTAATGCCACTACACTTCCTTCAGGTGCAGGAGTGTAGTGAGTAACATTGATAGGTATATATAGCCTTTGTCTCCAAGTTCTGCATTGTAAGTAAAACATATTCATGTCCTTTGTCTGTGACTGTTCATATTTAGGGTTCTTTCTTCTTCCATGTCTGAACACACTGATGAATTGTTTATCTGAAGCTTACTTCAAAGTATGGAGTTGGCTCTTTTCTCAGAATTTCATTGAAAAAAGTGATTGTTCAGTAAACAAATTGCTTGATCAATTCAATAATATAGTTCCGCTGATAGATATGAATAACATTCTCAGATGAATCTGAAAGACTTGACTGTCTGCAAAAACAAAGAAAAGGTCATCAGCAACAGGTTTTGGTGAACTCTGTGATTGTGGTAGTGTCGTCTGTCTTACCTTTTGGATCTTGGAGCTTTGTTCAGCAGATTCTTCATCTGTAAACTGTAGTACCCAAAGAGGGTCATTGTGTTAGACATTAAAGAAAAAACAATCAAATAGGTTATCGTGGCAATAGGACTAGAGTTACCTGTCCTGTGACAGTGTATAAGCGGTTGTACCAACCGTTTGTTGCCATTCCAATTGCAGAGTACAGATGCTTGCGAGCTTCTCCAGGGTTTTGTAAGGTGTACTCGATGTAATAGAATCCTGATCATAAATTGTGTCAACTAAACAAAGCAGATACTTGAGAGATTCTCATTTATTTGAGATTTTTGTATTTACCCTTGGAAGATCTGCTATCGATTAGCTTTGCAGTCACTCCTGCTGGTTTTTGCCAACTTCTATCCAATCCACTGACCTATAAATAAATGTCATGTCGACACTTATAAGGAAAATCTTTTTACAGAGAATTTGTTTGTTTGAATTGCAAGTAGAGAGACTACTAACCAGTGTTTCAGCGAAAGCTTCGACCTTTCCAAAAGATTCCATCCTGGTGAAGTCCGGACCTAGTCCAGTGATCGCTATGCTCACTGAGAAGATCCATATACATCACCTATCAGTTAACTCATGACTTGTGAACCAGAGAAAGTAAACAGAAACAAATCTTGATAAATTTACCGTTGGAAGTTGAAGTTTCCTGAGGGTAAAAGGCTGTGATTGACTTGAATCCATTAGGTTCTGCTTGCCCGACTTGCCAATCTTCTTCGTATGAATGCAAATCAGAGTCTTTCATCAGTCATCATGACTTGTTCACTATCATAAGTCCTCTAAAACAGAGTTTACCTTGTGGGATTGATATCTCGAATTTGTTCGCTTCATCTGTGTACACACGGAAAGCTTCTGATGCATCTGAGATAAGATAAAACAAAACGGTTTTATAAAGCTTCCATATTCTCAAGGAATCAACATTAAAAAGAGCTCAACAATACTTGTCTCTGCAAATGCAGGTGAAACGGCCAATGGAAGGAAGAAAACAGAGGAAGCTATCTGTAACATGGCTTCTCTTCTTTTAATCCCCACATGATCTCTAGACCTGTTAACAAAAAAGATTAAGACTTTAAACAGATTCAGAACAAACCCATAAAGAAAGGTAGTGAATTTTACGAAATTCGATGTTGTTCCTCGTTGGAGCTGTCTAGAGCTGAGATTGCTACAGGAATTGATGAACATCTTCTGGAATCTGGAAAGAATTAGCTGCAAGAATATGAATTTTGTACACGAACTACGATGAATCAGTGAAGTGTGTGTGAGAGATAGAGATTGAGAGTACCTGTAAAGCTCTTAATATAACGAGACGAAACGCTCTGAGGAGAAGAAAGCCATGGAGAAATCGCTGCCATGTGTTTCAAGATATGTCCGCTTCTCTGTTTTCACAAAATCTCTCTCCCTTTTCCTGTTTCAATTTTTATTATTTTTAATCATAAACAAAGTTTTTTTTTAAGTGACTAAGGATTAAATTCAATATTTATAATTTTCTAATATAATAATATTCTAACAATTAAAATTTTTGTTTTATTCACCAACATTTAAATTGCATACATCCAATTCGACACACAAATTAAATGACACTATGTTTCAGTTACTAATTTCCATACAACATTTACACGGTTTTTGTTTTTTGATAAACTGAAAGTCCACGGCTAAATATTTTTTACCAATTAAAAATGTCGAATATGATCAATAATGAATGATATCGTAGTGTGAATATTCGAAGCATGGTTTAAATTTGTTCACATGACGAATCATTAAGCAATTGACGACCCCGAATTGGTTAGAAGACCTTCTCTTAATGTTGATGATTGTTTTACTTCTTTGGCTCTTTTCAAAAGTAATCGAAGCGAGAAAGTAGCGAGAAGTAATGTCCGCCAAAACCAGGCCTTTGCATTCTTGGGATCCACTCTCTTAGCCAGCCATAACGCATAAACTGCTTCACTCACATGCGTTGTCACCACAATCCCCGATGCTATCCGCAACACTAACATCGACCTAAAGATAAACAACGCAATGGCTCGAAACAACGGTATGGGTCCAATGTCCGGTAGCCATGCGACTGATATAATGCTAGGCAAACCGATCACACAGAAAATCCACGCGTAAATGCTTGGACCATCGACCTCTCTCCTTTTCTTGTCTTTAAAATATGTAAAGGTTTCGCTCATGGCTTCTTTGGGCTGTGTCGTGGGCTCGTACCCGAGTTCCTCCTTGGCTTTGCGGATCGAGTAGTAATGAGTCACCCCCACCTGTTACGTTAAGAAAAACGTTATAAGCTCATGCCAATTCATGTTTTTGATTTATTTCTTATTCTCTAATGTAATCAAAACTACTCTCTAACAAACCTTATAAACTTCAGGTGGAAGAATCAATGGTTGTGGAATCCACCTTTGGTTTAGTACTGGTGTTAGCATTGTGTATATTGCTTCACATATTGTTCCTAGTAGAACCGCAAGCGAAACTGATAGCGATAACTTGGGAAGATCATAATCAAGATTCTTTAAAAGTGGCTGAAGAAATTCGAAGAAATTTATTGGATTATCTGCATAAATAAACCACAAAAATGAGGTAAATTGATAAAAGCAGAGTATAAAGAAACAAAGTTTGAGAGTGTAAATTTTACCATCAGAAACAAAGTAGGCCTTCCCTGAGGCTTTCGAGTGTTCATTGAGTAAATCGGTGGTTGCCAACATGAGCGCGAATACAATGTTATCCACATAAATCCAGTCGGTTTTCGAGCTTGCATCGCCGATTTTGAAGAGGAATAAACCCAATCTTGCATCGGAAATTATCCTATCAAGGTACTTCTCTTCAGCCGGTCCATAAACAATCGGGCAACGAATCGCACACGTAGATAAAAGACTTCCACGTCCATTCCTATATTCCCATAAACATATAGAAGACATTAGCATTACTAATATGTTTTATACTGTATAGGTTAACATAGGTAATCCGCAAAACAGTAGCATGGCTCCACGAATCTAATTACTCAATTTTTATTCGAGTATTCTGTAATTTAAAAGTTTAGTTAGTTTTCTCATTTAGTTTCACATAACTTATTCTGTTTTCCAATTTTCCACAGTTCACAAAAACATAATCCTAACATAGTAAACAACAAGATAAATAAATAGATAAAAAAAATAAAAGAAAAAACAAACAACAAAAATATTGACTTTGCACTTACTCAACAGGACGACCGTTGTTCTCTAGAACCAATTGTTCGGCAATAGATTTAGTCCGATCATATGAACTAACGTATTGATCGGAAGCTACATAAGGTAGAGTTTCATCTCCACTCTCAATCTCTTTCCCACCGAAAACGACACCGTGTGTGCTTAAATACACTAGCCTCGTGATCCCTTTCTTCATGCAGGTTTCCAAAACGTTACGCGTCCCTTCCACGTTGACTTCCTCGATCCGATGAGTCCGAACCATTTCCTTACCCGAACCACCGTACGAAGCAAGATGAATCACACAATCCACTCCTTCAAGGGCCTCTTCTACGTCCTCTCCACTCACAACATCTCCTGACATAATAATGTGAACAAGTATATATATTGCTAGAATATTACAAAGTGGAAGTGGTACTGATAGATCAAACCTTTATATAAAAGATGGATCAATGTACTCGTAGTCAATTGGTTTTGAGTTGAAAGCACATGATTCAAAAAGTTTACACTCATATTATATATGGTCATAATCTTAAATCTTGAGCTCGTTGATTCGAGTAGAGAGTCAGATCAAGATGAATACCATTTATGCATTGGATGCCAGATTCTTTGAGAAGGTCTGACCAAGGAGAGGTGGTGCGGCAATCCAATGAGCGGACTTGGAGAGCACCACGGCGGAGCAGCTCAAGGCATATGTTGGAGCCGACTAAACCCAACCCACCCGTCACGGCTACGACTTTGCCTTCTATTCCTCTGTTCTTCTCTTCATACATCTCCATTTTTCGCCGTGGTTTCTTCTTCGATTTGATTTTGATCGTTCTAAAATGGTCAACGAAGAGTTATATATTAAAGTGGTTTATTACAAGGTAAAGGCATGGTATGAATATGATATAATTATAAACTAAATATATACGCGTAATGCACGAATACCTCGTTGTTGTTTGAAAGTATACTGTATATCAAAAAAAAAGTATACTGTATACCTTTTCCTAAATAAGCCATATATCTTTTAGTTTCAATTCATCATTTATAACGAAAAATATTTAGTATCTAATACTTTTGTATAATATTTCAGTGATGACTGATGAGATGTTTATTTTATTTTTTGGTAGAAGTGATGAGATATTTATTTATACGTAGTGTTTATTAAACTAAAGCATGTAAAAAATGTGGATATTTTTGGTTTCAAGGTTGGTTAGTCAGACAGGTCAACAAAGTTCCTGACACGTGGCTTGTTCAGAGTGGTTACTTTGACCAGCTAAGTTATATTTTGGCTTCCTCACCTCAAAATTCACCGGTAAATCCAGAGACGACGACGACGGTCACGTTGTTTCACGAAGCTTCGCAGTCAACACCATCATCGGAACTTACCGGAGTTCGCTACGGTACCCTAAACCAACCCCCCTCCTTATCCGTTTTCGTTTTGAGAAATTTCCTGGGTTTTTCTGTTTCGGCATTGTAGAATCGAGATTAGGGTTTTTCTATTTTGGGTCTTCTCTTTTCCGACTTTGAATCTGATTCTTTAACTCTAGGAAGATGAGAAATCATCGCTATATCGCCGCCACTTATTCTAGGGTTTTAATAGCCAAGAAGAACGTAATCGATCAATTTCAAAAACTAATTTCATGGACCTGTTTGAGCTTAGATTTTCAATGATTTCGACTGATTCGTACTATGAAACGCATTGATTTGAGAAATCTAGCTCAAATGATTTGAGTTTCAGAATCAAAATTAATAACTTCGTTCATGGATCCAGCTTAGTTTGTTTCTTCCCTTGTACTTTGAATTCTATGTTCTTGGAATCTTCCTTCAGAGGATTGGACCCTTTTACTCTTCAAGTTTTAACCTTTGCTCTGCTTGTATAGGATAATCTTATAGGTCTATTTGCTTTTACATCTTCAAGTGCTTGATTTGATTGTTATCTTCTTCTTTTTCTTTCTTAATTGTGATATTATTATTATTAACAGGTAGGTTTGGATTCTATCTCTTGGGGAAAAAACACAAGAGGTAATCAGACAAAGCAACACCATGAACACTGAGAATAATCAGACTACTCACTCGAAAGTGATCTCACATGTATTCTTCACTGGTACTGCTAAGCAAGGCTCTGCTGGGCCACCCATTGGTCTTGTCGATATCGGCGTCAGCGAAGTTGCTTACATCTTCAGAGTCTCTCTCCCTGGCATTGAGAAAAATCAAGGTAAGCCTTCACGCTTCTTTTCTCCTGTTGTTCTTTCGTTGATAATACTCTTGTTGGAATAGTGGAAAGACTCTGTCTCAATATGGAATTTCCTTCTAATTCACTACCACCCGTTAAAACCGGAATGGATTGGATTCTTCATGTTTTGGGTTTGGTAATCACAAATGACATGAAAAGAAAGCTGCATTCTTTTTCACTATCTGTGTCTGAAAGAACTTTGAACCAAAATCCTATCTTTTGATGATTTGATCTGTTGATAGATAAGATCAAATGTGAGATTCAGAGGGAGGGAAGAGTTTGCATCCAAGGAGTAGTACCTGAGATTGCGATTCCAAGTGACACCGGATGCTTATACAGAATGCAGGTGCAACAGCTCTGCCCGCCTGGTCCATTCTCAATCACGTTTAATCTTCCAGGACAAGTGGATCCTCGCTTGTTTTCTCCAACATTTAGACCTGATGGGATCTTTGAAGTTGTTGTCGTCAAGCTCGGAGTACGTATCCCAACTTCATAGTTCCGGTCCATGCTTAATCAGCATTTAGTAGCACCTGTAAGTCTTTGGTTCGGATTCAGAGGTTAGAGACTCAAGAATGTTCTAGTTTCTTTTTTTTTTTTGTAAAATCATGTTCAATGATCCGATTCCTTAAGATGTTCTTAGACTCAGGAAAAAGTTTTAACACAATTTTTTATATTAATAATGTTATCAAAGTCAACTAAAGAAGTGGACTCGATCCAGGGAGGTGTTGTGTTCCTCGCAGTCAAACCAAAAGCATATTCCATATTGTCTCGAAGAAGAAAAAATCTCCAAATGAAAAGACAAAAGACTTCTATATATTGTTCTCATTTTTCTGTATCTTGAAAAAATCCTTAAATCGACGAAACGATGCCGGCGTTAAGAGTGTTATCGGCTTTAGATGCGGCGAGGATACAGTGGTACCATTTCAAAGCCATAATAGTCGCCGGCATGGGACTTTTCACCGACGCGTACGATCTTTTCTGTATAGCTCCGATCATGAAGATGATAAGTCAAATCTATTACCACAAAGACTCAATCGGAACCGCTATTCTCTCAACTTCTTACGCAATCGCTCTTCTTGGCACTGCTTTAGGTCAGCTCATCTTTGGTTACTTAGGCGACCGAATCGGACGTCGTAAAGTCTATGGACTTTGTCTCTTAATCATGGTTTTTAGCTCTTTTGGTTGTGGCTTCTCTGTTTGCACGACTCGGCGTTCTTGCGTTTTGGTTAGTCTTGGATTCTTTAGATTCGTTCTTGGACTTGGAATCGGTGGAGATTATCCTCTTTCCGCCACGATTATGTCGGAGTTTGCTAATAAAAGGACGCGTGGAGCTTTTATAGCTGCCGTGTTCTCGATGCAAGGGTTAGGGATTTTGATGAGCTCTGCTGTGACTATGGTTGTGTGTGTGGCGTTTAAGAACGCAGCCGGAGAGGGGAGCTTGGAGAAGACGAACGTGGCGGGGTTAGAAACTTTGGCTCCCCCGGAATCGGATATAGCGTGGAGATTGATTCTTATGATCGGAGCTCTTCCCGCTGCGTTAACGTTTTACTGGCGAATGCTCATGCCTGAAACCGCCAGGTTCGTAATTTTTGTCTTTTTGTTCACCAATTTTTAACCTTTAATATTATTATTACCATAGTATAGAGTATAGACTATAGACTATAGGCTATAATATTATATATATATATATATATGCACTATCTTGTGTGACTTTGCTTTATATAATCCCACATACAAACCTTGGAAAATTGCTAGACTATTAAATAACTCTTTCTCCTAAATTTTGTTTTTAGTAATATTTTGGAATATTAAATACATTGAAATTTGAAACGGTAAGCATTTCCACCGTGGAATACTTCTAAGTTCTATCGTTAGAGCATATATTACTTGTCACATTAATCCACAACCATAGTTATTACTTGTCATCACCATTCAAACTTTCGTGAATTAAGATATCAACCCATGTATATTTTTTGTATCTTGCGTGACTTTGTTAATTGTTAGCTATTTTTTGATAAACCCTATCGGCTATCCAGTCGATCCCGGTAGGAACGCACCGAGGTGCTACATAGTGGACTGGTCCACCGTGTTAACGGTTAGGCCCTTACGGGCTACCACTCTGCCTATTCCGAGTTTGGAATTGTTAGCTATTGTCCACTTACAAACTTTGGAAGTTTTCTAATTGTCAATGAAATCTCAATGTAGAACTTATAAATTAAATTACTAAAAAGTTTAGTCGTGTGCAAAACAAAAGTTCTACCCATACGTTTCCGTACGAAATAATGTTGGAGAACCTGAAATTCAACCTAAATTCGATTTGATGTTGATCAGATGATAAACATATAAAATAATAGTATGTGGGTAATAATGTAAAGAGTGGCAACTTCGTGGTTTGTTCCTAGGAAGTAAGTTGACTTGTGAGGGAAAAATATACCAAACACAGTGGTATATACCTTTTAAGCTACCTCTCTAGATAATGTATTTCAATAGTATTTCATTTTAATATGTATGATATATAGTTTTAGTATGTTTTTTCTATATAAATTATTCCTCCCAGGTATAAACTCCAGCTAATTAACACTAAATTTAATCTCTCCAACTATATAACCACGTACTATCTTCCTATCAGGTTCTCCCACTTTTTTTTTTTTTGTGCAACAAGTTGTCCCACTTTAATGCTCTCACTTCATAAGAAAAAAAAAAAGTCTAGAGATTGGTCTTTTCCGTTCCGTGCGTAGTATGAGTTATGACTAATTTTTATTTAGCGACATCTCTCATTAATAATAAACCTAATTTATGTTGACAAGAAAACTAATTTGGCAGAACAAGTTTGTTTTGCTAACTAATTTATTAGAAATCTCACATCTAATCGTGTTATAGATCAAAAAATTTCATCGTCAAATGGTTGTAATTATTTTGTTTGTGAATTTCATTGAAAGACAAAAATAAACTAATTCCAAAAATGTATAGTGTATATTAGAATAAATGTCAACTATCTATATAACCAACTATTGTTGCATACTCCCTCCATTCTTTATTGATCTATTTTCTATGAAAAAACATTTGTTTCAAGAAGATTGATTTTTTTAGTTTTTTCATAATATTTTATTAGTTATTATTGATGAATTGTAAACTTCCAAAAAACATAATTGAATATTATTGGTTTAGAGTTATAGAATGTAAATCACAAAAAATAATACATTTATAATCAACTTTTAATATGTGTGAAAAATCTAAAAAATACATCATTTAGGAACTGAGTATTTTTTTTGAGAAATTGTTAAAAATGCCCCTTTTTCAATACCCCTTTTCAAAAATGCCCCCTTTGAGAGTCCATTTTTAAGTTTGCCCTCTTTTAATTTTTAATGACCATTTTACCCTTATTTGAAACAAAATTAGGTCCACAAAATACAAAATATTTTTTGGCGGGAAAAGTGATCCCCCAATTTTCCCGCCAAAACACTTGTAAAAACCTTTAAAATACCTTGTAAAATTTTTTCGTAAAAATTTTTCCCGCCAAAAATTTTTTTTTGCGGGAAAAGTTATTCCGCAATTTTTTTGGCGAAATTTTTTTGGCGGGAAAATTTTTGGCGGGAAAAATTTACAAGGTATTTTAAAGGTTTTACAGAGTATTTGCCACAGTTTTGTATGGTGTGACCACGGCTTTTACAGGGTGTTCCAGCGGACTTATAAGGTTT